CCTCTATTGGAAACATGAATCTTAGAAAGCTTCCGCAACAGTTATGATGAAAAAGGAACAACAAATGCTAAGAAAAGAAAAAAAGAAATATAGGCAATGATTCTTTCAGTCAGTATCGCCCCGGAATGACCCACCTCAGTTCCGCGCTCGAATTTTTTTCTGCACCCGCCTGTGGTTTCTCGTCCAAATAGCGGGGTGCGCGACTTTTGGCTTGTCCGGGCTGCCACGCGGCGAATCGCGCGGCAGCATGCGCGGCGATCCAGATGAGAGGAGACCCTTTGCGTGCTCTGCAATAGAATTCAACACATCAATGAGTGTGCAAATTGCTGATAAACTCTGCATGACTCTGCGGTTTGAGGAAACTTTCCACGCGCGGAACTTCAAATGCAGCGGTGGTGCGGTTTCGTGGAAAAGCTTACCGGCGGCCTGGACGCGTTCGCGTGTTGGCGATGCCACAACAACAGCGAGGGAGCGAGCAAGAGCCAGCCTTGCTACCACTCTGAAGACCTACCTTGCCCTTACTTCACTGCGTAATAAGTACAAGTGAGTGGGAGTTGAACTGGAAGAGAACCCATTTTATTCAAATTCCAGTTTTTCTAGGGGTTTGCACATGAAAGCCTCAATTCCCTCCATATGTCGAAAAAATTTCAATTCCTAGGGCAAAGATGGTATCTGTACATGACACGATCATTTCGCTGGTTCGCTTTTCACAACTGGTTGAATAAGTTGGTATTGCGCCATAAACCCAGCTTCATTCAAAACGTCATTTTGACGTCACCGATATAACACAATGATTTTGCTCGCGTCCGCGCCGCCGGTGAGCTTTTCTCTCCCGGGGGTGGTGAGAAAATTTCACCGCAATGAGATGAAAGAGAGAGAACCTTCATAAAAATGTCACTTCTCTCATAAAAGCGAATAAGAAAACCTAAAATTAAGAGTTCTACCAAAATATAGTTATGTGTGTAGTGTAAAAGCTTGTAGCTTGCCGATCGAGGCGCTTATGCGTTTATGAAAGCATTCGAAACAAGGCCGATAGTAGGTGACACTAGGACTAAGCCGAAGAGAGGAGAGAAAGGCCAGGGAAAAAACAAATACTTCATGTCCTGTACCAGAATCCATTCCTCCCTGAGGTTTAATTCTAAGCAGAGCAATTGGCTCACTCATTTGAGTGTCCTGCCCTCTCCCACCCCTCACGACATGAGCGCTCAGAAAATTATTTTTCTTTTCATGTTTTCCTAGTGAAGTTTCCTTACCATCATCGCTATCCTCTAATATCCATAATAGCCCGCGAAGACTTGCAGCGCGATTTGACGCGTGAGCACAGACGAGTCAAAAGTGCGTCTCCCCAAAGAGCGTCGTACGAGTACCGCGAATTCGCATGTTCCACTTTTTTCGTATGCTAAAGGCTTAGTCATCGTTTCCCTACCGATCTATACTAATTAGCTCATAGTTGGTGCTTCTTTGGGTATGAGGATGAGTCTGCAACAGCTTCTATTCGTTCCCGAAATTTCTTTCCGCTAGAGATGATGAGGATAAATAACCACAAGCTTGTCAACAGCATAAGGTCCCTCTGTGGAGAAAGTACCGGGAGGAAATCAGCGCTCTTTCTACGCCTGCGTTGAAATAGCCTACGTGAATATATCCTGGGTGACTGTACGCGCCACATAGTGGCGCAAGCGCATGAGGCGGGTAAAAGCCGCCTAGCACATAGACTGACTCGCCCGTGTGGAAGTGCTCTCATCCCTTGAATGTTGATGAAAAATACTCGCAAATCCTATCATGTAGCATCATTCAATCACAAAACAAGTAGCAGAACATTGAATAGTCTCATTGCTTACGCGATCTTCCTCGCCAAAGGGCACTCGTTGGTGAGTTCAAGATGCTGGTGTAAAATACTTCGACGCATGGTGACGATAGTCGCCTACTTGATGCAGTATGCTTTCCCAATTTGGATTAGCGATATAATGGAATCTTGACTAATACGGATTGGAACTACCGAAGTTTTTGCTGTCGAGATGTACAGGAGTGAACAGGTCACTCCTCTCGTGAAGCGCCTCGACAGATTTTGCACTGGTCATGGAGACGAGATACTTGGAAGTTTGTCTGCAAAATATTTCTGCAATGTCCTCTAATGAGCGAGATTAGTTACTGTTCCACTTCAATTATGGTCCCAACTTTCGTCAACAAATAGGCAGGCCCTTTTCGAGTATGCTCTAGTTGCTTTTTTAAGGAGTGTTTATGACGCTCTGTTGTAACCGCAATTATAATAAACCATTTCAGCTCCGCACGCTACCGCGCGCATCACACCGAAGGCTTGGGCAAAAAAAGTCGGTGGAAGGGTTAGGTTTACCGGTAAGAAGTAAGTTTTCAGTGAAATGCGTTAGCTGTCTCTCCGCTTGATACGCGCGGATATGGAGCTAAACTGGTGTCTGTAAACAACCACCATGCATCGAATGTCAGAATAATTTGGCGGTCGAATAACCTTTGACGCTAATGAATTTGAAATGGAAATACCCAGTACTCATTATCATGTTTATCAAACATCCACCGTACATTTTTAGGAACTCTAGGGAGTGGAGCGGCCGAATGGTATTTGGGTTAAGGATAACAACGCAAAGAAATGTTATTGAAATGAAAAAGCGTTATCTCGAATCTGGTTTCGAGTGACCTCTATGTTCATACGCATCATTGTTATCAGTCCTTATCAGCCGTTATCCCTTTCTGTCCCCACCAAATATGTTCCCGTCCCACCCTCTACATCACTTGTCGAAACCAACGCCTCACTGCTGCTGGGACGCCCACTGTGAATTTCGTGGAATTGCGTTTTATCAGCTCTTATCAGTCGTTATCACTTTCTGGCCCCCACCAAACATGTTCCCGTCCCACCCTCTACATCACTTCTTGGAACCAACGCCCCACTGCTGCTGGGACGCGCGCTATGAATTTCGTGAAATTTGCGTTCTAGCGCCTCTTATCAGCTCTTATCAGTCGTTATCACTTTCTGACCCCACCAAATATGTTCCCGTCCCACCCTCTACATCACTTCTTGGAACCAACGCCTCACTGCTGCTGGGACGCGCGCTATGAATTCGTGAAATTTGCGTTTCAGCGCCTCTTATCAGATCTTATCAGTCGTTATCACTTTCTGACCCCCACCAAATATGTTCCCGTCCCACCCCCTACATAATACAAAATACAGCGTTCCACGTTGCAGCGAAGCGCGCTATGAATTTCGTGACACACACACGCAAC